TGAAGCGAAAGTGGTCCGAGTGAACCGAAAGACGGGCTGTATAGTGGGGTAAGTGGGTGGTAGGGGGTGGAGAGACCGCGAGGTAAGAGACATACACTCCCGAAGCTGAAAAGACCGAGAGACTACCACCAGGCGGAGTGGTGTGTTCCGCCACCTCTTCTGGCACCGTTGTCGCTGCTCAGCACAGCTCATGCATTATTAAAGCCATGTATTTAGCCGATATGGGTATGCAAAGCAAGACGTAAGCCGCAATAATAAGCGTACAGGGTGGAGGGACGGATGAGAGAAGAGGTGGAGAAAACGGCGGGGAGAAGGAATTAGAGAACGGTGAGAAAGGGGTGGTGGTGTTGGTGGTGGTGGTGGTGGTGTGTGGGTCATTGGTGGGGGCTAGAAGGATAGAGACAGACGATGGTGGTTTGGTGGGTCGACGCGAAAGGAGCCTTGGTACACGGGGCATTATATACAAGAGGTTGTGGTGCACACACTGTCCGGGGATTTCTGTGCGATAGGAGGGGTTGACAGAAAGGAGGGTGCAGGAGGGTCGAAAAGAGAGAGAGTAGAAACAGAGAGATAGAGAGGGATCGGCCGCTCACCTATGGTGCCCCCTATGGGCGGGGTGTAGAGATGGGGCGTTTGCGCCTGCGTCATCGTGCTGATGGTGCCCAGGGAGTCGTACAGCTCGGCGGAGGTGGCAATCGCGTTCCCGGGGAATCCTCCGTGTTCGTAGTAACCTCCGCCGCCGCCACCTCCGCCACCTCCGCCGCCACCACCGCCGCCACCACCGCCGCCGCCGCCTCCACCGGTCCCAGCGCCGTTCGTGCCCGCGGTCGCACCACCGCCTCCGCCGCCTAGCTCGCTCAGGAGTTTGTGCTCGTCCTTGATGCTCCATTTACTCGACCACAGCTGTAACAGAAGGCGGATGCTTGAGGCAAAGTTCGAGTGCCCGGAGAACGGGCTACTTGTTCACGGGGAACGGCTAAGATTGACTTAGCTACTGGCTTTCACGAATTTTTCTTCGATTAGTCTTGTCTTTTTTCAGGGAGATTCGTTGAATATTATGCTAGATTTAGGTGTTGTACGGTACCTTGGTAGATTGTTCATCTTGTTGGTTTTAAATTGGATACATGGCAATTGTGATCCGTTCTTTCAGATCTCAATGCGACTAGACTCAAATTCTAGTGCTAGGCGGCGATAGTTGCAAAATGTTAGTCTCATATGGCTAGTCGTTTAAATAAACTGGCTACAAATGTTCAATCTACCACTGGAATAACTAGATTTTTCTTCTCAATTCAAGTCTATAGTAAAATAAGCAAGACAGATTTATATATTTCATTGAGTCTTTGGTAACCAAAGTGGTATACAGTCCGCAAAGAAACAAAGTACCGGCAGCATGCGTTCCCAATTACCGCATTCTCGGATACTCACATTCGAGTACAATTGGTCGCCATTGTAGTTGCTCCTCTGCCTCTTCAGGTCGTCCTCGGGATGATCATTCAGGTCTCGGTTGTCGTCTGCAATCATATTACCACTGTGTAGTAGGATCTTCAGCCTCCGCGATACAACGAAAGCGACCCGTTACCCTCCCGCCGGGGTGCCGCGTAATCAAACCGAACACCCGTGTACGAGAAGTATCGTGGCAAAGGATAATCGACGACACGGGGGTGGGGGGTGAACGGAAAGGAACGAGCGGTCGGCGGAGCATCTCCCAGCGCGATCGTCGCTATCTGCGCCGGTGGGGCATACGTGGCCGTCTATGGCCGCGTGTTACCCACGAATCAAGACACAAATTAAACGTGGCCGGACGAAACCTAAATTGAATCTGTCGGGGCGGACGGGTTGAACCGGGTTGCGGGCGGTACGCCGCGGCCGTAGACGGTGTGTATGGCATTGATAGATAGAGAAACAATTTCGATTCCATTATATGTCTTTATTATCTCCCGGCCATCCCAGCGGTTTAATATAGAAACAAGCACGTGGGACGAGTGTCGGTACGTTCGGCCGGGTAGTAGGGGTTGTCAGAGAACGCGAGGCGAGGGGGTTGGAAGGACGGTCACCGCTATACCCTTTTAGTGGCCGGCCGCGGGGGTGGTCGGACCGGGGAAGGATGAAACT